AAATTTCTCGTCCATTGTTAGTGAATTCGAGCTGGTAAATCCCGATAATTCACTCGCTGAGTGTGTTAACCTATAAATATCTAACACGCGCGAGTGGAATAATTGTTATATTAAACACGCCCCAACTATGGATAAATCTTCCCAACTTTATATTGTAAGAACAAACGAAATGTTACAATTCACAAATACACTCTCGATTTAACTCGTCTTAAAACCTGCGTATGTTATAATGGCTCATAACCCATCATGGCATGGCTTCGCCAATGAAAACCCTTGAATTCGGTTTTAAATAAAAAGTGAAATGTTTCATAAGAAGCATTCAAACTGTACTTATGATTCCCAATTTTGTTAAGGTAACATACGATGCATTTCTTTTGTTTGCAGCAATGAAATGAAGATTATCCGTTGGAAAAGTAGTGTTCTCTCAGCTCTTGCTGCCCTGGAATACACTTCAGTGCCATTGGCGAAGCTGGTATCAATCATGACTCTAGTGCTTACTGGACAACCCCTCACACCTGTTAATGTGTTTATGCTTCTCTCTTTTGTCAATGTAGCGAGAATAAGCTTTTGTATGTACCTCCTCTATGGTACCTTGGAAGCATACGACGCTTTTGTTTCACTTCAGAGAATTGAGCATTTCCTTCTTCTAAAAGATTTACCCGTGAACTATCATGATCACTCTAGCCAAGGCTCTAATGAGGGGAGAGGGAGTGTATCTGAATTGAAGAGAAACTTGTCGGATCAACACAACAAAACTGAAGAAAATCCCGGTATTCGTGTTGATGAACAACACAATATGGCCAAGCCAGCGACTCTGGTGGTGTCAATTTTAACGTCAAAAGAAAAGCTCGGTGATGACGCGTTCATTTTGCAAGATGTCCAGTTTTCTACGGCGTCCCAAAACTTAACAATCATCACGGGTCCAGTGGGTAGTGGAAAATCTACTCTTCTCTCAGTTATCGCAGGTGAGGAGGTGTCAGTCGCAGAAGGAACAATAACCTGGCCATCTTCCCTTGTTTATGTGCCCCAGACACCATGGGTGTTCTCCGGAACAATAAGACAAAACATTTTATTTGGTCAACCTTACAACGAAATCAGGTACTTCCAAGTAGCTGAGGCATGCGCCCTAACGGAAGACCTTCAGAAGTTTCCAAAAGGTGACGAAACGGTTGTAGGTGAAAGAGGTGCTGTTCTGAGCGGAGGTCAGCGTGCACGAGTGAGTTTAGCACGTGCGGTATACTCGGACGCAGACCTGTACCTGTTGGATGACCCTTTGAGTGCCGTAGATACAAGAGTTAGCAAACATATCTTTGAAAAATGTATTAAAGGCATATTGTGCAACAAAACCCGGCTGTTGACGTCCCACCAAGAAGAATACATGAAAGAAGCTGATGAAGTTATTGTGTTATATAAAGGACGTTTGTTGGCCAAAGGTAATTTCCCTGAGCTTGAAGAAAAGGCTGTTTTTGATTCTGCACTTGATACACTTTGCAAAAAGCCTTTTAAGGGCAGGGAACCCAATGCGAGGTCGGTTTCAGAAAAGGAAGATAACCCACAAGTTAAGGGAAGAGTGATTCCTGCACTACCTCAGAACAAGGATATACAAATGTCAGACGAAGACCGCATAGTCGGAGGAGTGACTTTTAAGCTCTACTGGGACTACTTCAGAAGCGGATTAAGCTCCATGACGATCATCGGAGTTATCTTCTTATGTTTCATCACTCAAGGTAAACTTGATAGATTGTTTGGGTTCATTAATGGAAGCCCTCGTTTAGGTTCTTTTTTCCCCGAAGAACTACTTGAGACTAGAATCAGTTCCTCCCTGATATGCCTGATAATACGTCTTTTGTCGAATTTAAGAATTACCAGACAGAGGGAAATGTTTAGAAATTCCGCGAAAGTATTCTCGTTGCTCTTGCCCCATCTTTGCATCCACATTTTTAACATTCCCAATCGACATCATGTCTTTTGCAAACTGACCGATTAATTCAATTAGCACCTCTTACTGTATGCTAATTTTGTGTCTTCTCTCATTTTTCATAGGGATGATAGTTTCTCCTGACTTTTGGCTTTCGTCTCTGACTAAGAAGAGTCAAGAAAACCAGAAAGACAAAACAAACCTGATCATATTTGGTTGTCTAGTACTTGGATCCTTCATATTTGCCGCTGCCAGGGCATTTTGCTTTCTTCAGGCCTCTGCGAGATGTTCCAAACGTCTTCACGATAAAATGGCGGAGGCAATTCTAGAGGCTCCTGTTTTGTTTTTTGATTCAAACCCTGTTGGCAGAATTCTTAATCGATTCTCTAAAGATACAGGCTGCATGGACGAGGTGTTACCCAAGGCGTTTCTGTTTGCTATCCAGCTAGTCTTAGCAATGCTGGCCTCGATTCTCGTTCCAACCGTTGCTAATCCATGGCTTCTGTTTGTGACTGTTCCAATGGCCATAGCAGTTGTGTACATCTCTCGGTACTATCTGAAAACGTCTAGACAGTTGAAACGAATAGAGTCTATAAACCGAAGTCCTGTGTTTTCACACATTTCGGATACCATAGATGGGCTTGAGACTATTCGAACAAGAGCAAGACAAAGAGATTTTGAGGAACAGTTTTACAGGTATGTCGTAGGGTGGATGTCCTCCCCTGGGGTGGGATGGGTGGGTTTACTGAGCCCGCAGTAATTGGCGCAAGCTGTTGCGGTGTCCCTGCCTGTCGGCGAATCTAATAAATTAAATAAATATATCAGCTAGTGGCACTTTACAATATCAGAGTTTAAAAGAGACGTTCTTTGTCTTGTTACGAGCACGGGAAAGAACAACGATCTAGGTACCGCACGAGGAATCAATCCTGAGTTCTTCAGATACGTCGCGCTGTAATTCTGTAAAAGTGAGCAACACAGAACTCCTCGATGACCTGAATGATACTAAGTTCTTATGTATGGTGCGTCCTGGATATTGCTAAAGTCTGCCGGCAATGTCGGAAAGTGAGATCAGTATTTAGGCTAAAATACCATGACGTTTGCTCGGGCTGTCCCCCTAAATTGACACACGGTACGTGGTGTAATACGTAGCCAAAGATAGCTTTGAGATAGACATTTTTCCATAACTAAGACCCTAAGTACCTGAAAAGATCAAGAAAATTCAATGGTGAGCACGAAATAAGACCTTTACTCTGTTTAGTACGGAGGGGGGTGAATAGGCTAACGGATCGGTGGATTCTGAAAATTATTTTGCCCGGATTTCGGATTTAGAGCAAAATTTTAACGAATTTGCGGATCCTGAAATTGCAACGGTTCGCGGTTTCGTCGATTTTTAGGTTCGGATTTTGGATTTTGCTTGTGAGGAAGTTCGGATCGTGGATCTGAACGATCGTCAGAAAGGCGTTGTTTTCTGAGTATGTGTATTTTTTTGTCACGGGACGAGACTCTCTGCATGTCACGCATCAGGGAAATAGTAGGGACCTTACGCAATCAGGACGGCAACGCCAAGGAAGACTTCGATTAAAAAATGAATTTCTACTCTTAGTTAGAATTTCAAAAATGGTTGCAGGAGCTTACTGTCTTATACGGCGCCACAGCTCAACTTCAGCATGACGTATAAAAGTAGCGTTGAGTTCCAAATGGAAATTAAAATAATTTGCTGTCGCGGTTTCGGTTCGCAGACGACGCAAATTTTGTCGATTTCACGTTGTTGTTTTGCATAGGACGGCTAAGAAATGTACAAAGTTTCAAAATGCACGTGCTGAGCTATTGTTCTGCCAATTAGATTTCTTGTTTTTCCACGTCCTCGCTGCCGTCGCCGTCGTGGTTGCGTAAGGTCCCTAGTAACGCACTGGGACGTCTGCTGTGTTCGCCCCATTATCCATGAAACTGTACCCCACCGATTGCGATTCGCTCGATGGGAAAGCCATTGCCTAGCTAACACACAACAGCTCAAGGTGCGTTTTCCACCTTTTTACGAGACAAGTAGCGAACGGATTCGGATTTAACAATTTTTTTTAACGGATTGACAGATTTGGTTATCAAATCGTAGCGGATCGGCGGGTTTGCATACCCCTATTCACATCCCTTGTACGTAACTTTTAATACGAGTAAAAGTTTAGTCCTTATGATCAGGTGCGTCGTTACGATAGTGGTAATATAATTTCCATCGTGCTCCATTTAGATATCAGGATGTCCACACTCAGTCGTATATCATGGTGCTTGCCTGCGAGAGATGGCTTGGGGTGCGTATGTCTTTCCTTATCTCCATCTTGACGTGTGCAGTGGCTCTTGGGGCAATCTTTGTCTCTCAAGATGCTGGTAGGTATTTGATAGCATAATCCCTCGTTGATCCCTTGTTAATTAAGGAATTAATCACATCACAGAATGTCTATAATTGGACGGGTTGGCCATTCGCATGACATGCAGTTAAGAGCCTTCTAATGGCTTCTTTCAAACCATTTTCCTTCTATTTGCATGACTTTTGGTACATACCCTCTAGTGTTTTATATAAAACAAGCTTCTTAATCTCGAGATTTTTTTTTATTGCAAACTACGATCATTTTTTATTGGACCTCATTTGTAAAATTCAATACTGGCTATGTCCCGGCTGATATTTTCAGTTGATTTTGAAATTGTTCGCTCGACTTTGTTTTAAGCCGGATTATTCTAATACTATCATTTCCTTCAAAAAAACGTCAAAACGCTCAAGATGTAACTATCTCCGTACTATGTGAGAGACAACTTATTTGAATAATTGTTTTTGTTTCTGGCTAACACCTTAAACTGATAACTAATAGAAATGGGAAGTGTGATAATAAAATATTCATGACATCAATCCGATATTTTTTATATCATGAACAGCGTTTGCTGGAATTGGACTTGTTTACGTCCTCGAAAGTGTGGAACTGATGGATTATACTGTCAGAAAAGCTGCCGAAGTTGAGAATTTTATGACTTCAGTTGAACGGGTTATGACATACACAAAACTTGACCATGAGCCTGGCTATAAAGTGAGCGAACTTCCCCCGGAACAGTGGCCATTTAAGGGGGATATCACGTTTCAAGACTTGTCAATGACCTACTACCCGGGAGGGCCTCAAGTATTAAGGAAGCTTAATCTTCACATAAAGGGAGGAACAAACGTTGGTGTCACAGGGCGAACGGGAGCCGGCAAGTCATCCCTAGTGGCAGCCCTTCTGCGCATGCCAGATGCCGAAGGTGCCATAATGATCGATGACATCTCAATAAATGACATTAACCTACAAGTGGCTCGACGATGTATATCCGTTCTTAGCCAAAGTCCCGTCCTTTTCAGTGGATCGTTGAGAGAAAATCTTGATCTTGTAGGGCAGTTCCAAGATGTAGAGTTATGGGGAACCTTAGAGATCGTTCAACTGAAAAAGCTGGTGGAAAGTTTGGATGGAAAACTAGATCACCAGTTGTTGGAACATGGTGCAAACCTAAGTGTAGGAGAACGGCAGTTGATTTGTTTGGCTCGTGTCCTTTTGCATCAGAGAAACATTGTGATCCTGGATGAGCCCACTGCACACGTGGATCCAGAAACAGAACAAACAATTTGGAGGGTAGTGCGAGAGAAACTGAAGCACTGCACAGTAATCACCATAGCTCATCGACTGAACACTATCAAAGACTGTGACATGATTTTAGTCATGACAAATGGCGAGATCCACGAGTTTGATAGTTTTGACTCAATGATTAACATAACTTAACTGTTTTTTTCATCATGGAAAAAAGTTTACATTAGAGTACTTTTAACCTCTCTTCATCTTTCCCCCACTTTTTTTTTAATCTTTTAGAAGAGTTCAAGCTTAAGTTTTCTAAATGCATAAACGATTACAGCTTTTTTAAATCGAATTCGTCCACTGAATTCCGTCAAATTTAGATTGCTGTGGTATATAGAAAAATGTAACTGTAACTTTTTCGTCACGAGTGGGGAACAAAGAAAAAAATCTGAGTCTTTCAAGAGAATTTACTCCTGTGAATGGCTCGGCTTCGGATTAGCTCACTGTTAGTGCATTTGACCGCAAACTTCTGAGGTCCTCCCGGTTAGCTCAGTCGGTAGAGCGCCGTACTATTGTGCGGAAGGTCGAGGGTTCAAGCCCCGGCCGGACCAACACTCAAGGTTTTAAAATAACTGAGGAGAAGTGCTACCTTTCTATGATATCTAGAAATGGATAGTTATTCTAGTCTTCTCGGATAAGGACAAATAAACCGTAGATCCCGTCTCCTGCAGGCTTAGGGGTTGAGACGTTGATTTTCCCACGCACGAGATTACTGTTTGGTGGATGTCCTCCCCTTGGATGGGATGGGTGGCTGAGGGCCATAAGGGAGAGTACAGTTTCTTTACCGTAATTACGTACCCTCAATAAATCAAAGTTTAAATCGGATGTCTTTTTCTTCCCTCGCTCACTGCGGGAAGAAGAAGAGTGTTAAAAGTTGAGCATCTCTCTTATCCCAGTCACGCACACAACACTCTCCACATTGCTGCACAGACTGCAGAGCAGCGATAGGATTGGGACAGGGGGGGTGTTATAAAACTCCCTCCCCCCTCCACCCAAACAAAAATTTGCATGGGCAAAACCATTCAAACTTCAGAGTGCAAAATATTGCAACTAAAGTAGCTTGCAATCAGTTTAGCAAAATTCAGTCTCTTCAACTTTTCACAGACTTTTTAATCAGGATTGCACTAAGTGTACCACCATATCGAAGGGCTGAATTCTTTGAAAAAAATACTCACTTTACCTTCTACATTGTTAGAAACCATAGGAGATCACTTAGTACAGAAAACATGGTACACTGCACAGTCTGGAGACTTTCTTACACCATTTTTGGTTCCTGTTTAATGGATTGTAACATTTCAATTTAAAGGAAAATTAGAGTGGCTCTGAGCTCCTTCCTTATACGTATCAGATTTACATGGTTACAAAGCAAATCTGATACTGATCACGAATTAATGAGATAAATTGTATAATGCAATGTGGATAATGATAATTCTAAAACTTGATGTTCACAACAAGGCACTTTTGCAAGATCAATTAAACAATAAATGTCCTGCCCATTAAGTTAACTCCCTTAGCTTATCACTTCTCACTTATGGCTTAATCAAAATTGTATTTTTTAAATATATTTAAAAATATTTTAAATATGTATTTAGAATTTATCTCAGCTTCTCAGTCCAGGTAATGGACACCACTGCCTCATTATGTTTGGAGTATAATTTGCACTCAATCCAGGGGCAGATCTAGGGGGAGGGTGCAGGGAGTGCACACACCCCCCCCCCCGAGATGACCTGAGGCTTTCTAATAAAAGTGGTATTCTGCAAAAAAAAAACCTATGTGGTTTATTGGTGTTGTAGTAGAGCAAGAGATGAGGTTCAAGAATTTATGTTAAGCGGCGTAAAAATGGTAGTATGGCACTGAAGTTTGGAGCATTAGCCCTTCTAAATTTATGTCTGGTCACCAGTCAGTTACGCCATTCTTTAGTGGTACACCCCCTTCTCAAAAAAATCCTGGATCCGCCCCTGCAATTACGTACAAGAAGGAGGGTGATTGTCTTTCTCTGAGAAAAATTTAATCACAGCCAGTATGTACTGCATTTTAGAGAACAGATACGGAGAACAGTTTCATTACATCTTTCAAAAAGCGTCAAAAACCACCAAGATTACTTTCAGGCCTATGTCAAGACTTGACATAAACTATAAGAAACTTCTCCTCATGAAAATGTCAGTCACATATAGCATCACAGTTGAGAATTAATTTTAAAATTATTGGTTTGATTAAAAAATTAAGAGTTATTAAAAGTAATTCTTTTCAGTATTTTTTTCGATTCACTTTTTTCTTACCATTTTCCACAACCATTTCACTCTTAATAAGTTGCAGCATGCCATGAAAATTTTACAAGAGTAAGATTGGAGAAATTCCATGCTTGTGGAAACAGAGTTTTACAGTTGAAGTCGAATGAAATCCTACTGGAAAATATCATTTGCAATTTTAGTTGCAAGCAGAATATTAATCTGCATTGTCCAGTTATGTACTAGAAGAGAACTTTCCTGAGTGAGTCTGATTACATAGATTATGAACTGACATTTGTCTTGCACAAGAAAATTCACAAAAAAATTAAAACCCACTAAATTTATATGTCACACAGTGACTATTAACACAAGACAATAATTAAAACTGTGATAACCCTACTCAAATTTTCCAATCAAATCTTGGCCATTCAGTCTGGAATCAGTAAAATTTAGCTATTGTAACATCAACCCAAGGAGATATCAAAGAACCTAGTAAATGAAAAAAAGGTCTCAAATTTAAGAAACATTATGTAACTGCTGATATTCAATGGCTTTTTAAAATATCAAAAAATATTTGTCTTCAGTTTTTCTCTTGAGCAGAAACATCAAACTAGTTTTAGTCAAATTTGATCTGAATTGTCTAGTTATGTTAAGTAGCAGAGAACTTTCCTAAGTGGGTCTGATTACAAAGATTATGAACTGACACTTGCCTTGCATGCAAAAATTGACATAAAAAATAAAACCCACAAAATTAAAATTTGGGTCACCCTACTCAAAATTTCCAATCAAATCTTGGCAATTTAATCAGGAACCTGTAGCACGAACCAAGTTAGTTGTTCCATTTTCAACTCAAGGAGATATAAAGGAACCAAGTAAACAACAAAAAAGTTTCAAAATTAAGAAACATTATGTGATTGCTAATATACCAAGCCTGCACTCTAAGAAAAATTGAAGGGAGCCCAGTGCTATGAAACTGTGAAATCCAGGGTGCCCAGCATATGCTTTTAATAAAAAAACTAAGATTAATGAGTTGCCCTAGGCCCAATTACCAGCCACTGTCTAGGAACCGGAGCCCACACTCCTCCCTGAACCCACCGAATCTCTTCTTGTGGAGGAACGAGAAAGACCAGACCTGAGAGAGGAGTGGAAATCAAGTCTAGGGTTGCCCAAGAGTAAAAGTAAGGCACCAGGGCCATCGGGCACTGTTAGACCACAGCCCTGTATACAATGGCTTTTTTAAAGATTAAGAAATATTTGTTATAAAATTCTGCTCTTGAGCGACAATATCAAACTGCTTTTAGTCAAATTTGATCCCCACAACTTCCCCCGTGAAGGAATGTGGTCTCCAAGGTGGACGGTACTGTTTGCTACAACAATGAAGCTACACTATTTTTAAAATACATTCACGTTTGTTTTTTAGAATATTTAGTGCATTAAAAATCAGTGGAGCTGGAGATTTCACCTTTTAACTCCCTTGCAACGGATGAGGCACTCTTAGGTAATATTAATAGGAATATTTTCACCAACCTATCATAATCATGCTCATCAAAAGAGATATAAAAATGCACCACTTCGAAAAGTACATGCAAGTATGTACACGAAACGGCAAGAGTACCATATAACCCCATACATTAATTATGCATTCAGACTAGTAGACTTTGTTTTTAAAGTTTTGTTGTGAAAGACAAAGAAGTGAAATGCATAATTAATGTTGGGGTTATATGGTACTCTTTCCACACGAAACTATATAGTACATAATGACAGACGATTTTATCCCTCACATTTTATATAAAAGCCCCACCCCCCTTACCAGGACTCAACTCAACGTTTGTTGTCTTCTGCTTCTCGAAAGGTGGTTATAGTCGCAAGAGCTGCGTACATATAGGTGGGTATAACATCGTCTCTTTTGTAAATTGTTACTTCCCATGTCGGATAAAACTGAAATGCTGGACGTTCAATGACTCCCAAACTTGAACCAGACTTGGAATCTTTCAGTGTGATCGTCGTGCCAATTTCGAAAACAAAGCGGTCGGTGCGTGCAATTTCTTCGTCTTTCGAATTCTTGATCAAGAAGACATTTTTCGTGAAACCCGATGCACTCCAACTATATTCGATCCTGTAGCTTGTCGAGTTAACTTTCCATTCCTCCACAATATCATACTTTGATGTCCAGGTGAAAAGCTCTCGTTTGACCGTCACAGCTAACTCTTCTTTCTTGTTCAGCATGTAAACTGTCCATACACACGTGACACACTTTCTTGCGTGCCCAATCTCACCTCCCTCGGGAGTCAGGTAGAGCATATTTTTGTAGATTTCCACACCTTTAGGTCTGCGGACTTTGTAGCTTGTTGGCAGTTCCCATTTCCTTGTTGCATACGGTAGGTCTTTCTCGGCTTGATGCTTCTTCACGGTTAGTCCGATTGCAAGGCCAATTATCGTCAATACGACAATCAGGCCTGCTGCAATGAGGATTTTCTGCTTATTGCAATTGTCAGCAATGCTCATGACTGATGATTAACCTTTAAAGTTTCTCGAGGCTACCAGAAATTCCGATGAAAGGTTTCTCTAACTTCGAGAAGTTTAGTTACTCGTCACACATCTCGGGCCCATCAAATTGTATCTGGATAGGAGACCACGGGTTACATGTATAACGTAATCAACGAAGGAAGCCCTACTCGCCAAACTTAAATCCCACAAAACAATATTTAGAACCCTGTTGGTTTCTTTGACGTAACGAAACTTTAAAGACTTTCCCCCAAACTCCCTTTAAATAAATTATTTGGCGACCATACCGCTGACAAGGAGCTCAAATAACCCTACCCCCACCCCCTCCCCCGTACCAATCTTGTTTATTTTATTTCGTGCTACAAATAGTCGTCCTCACCTCCCTCTGTCATTAAGTCTTTATTTTTTTAAATCTCCTCTTCCTTCTTCGCGCAATCTCCGAGCATTTGAACTTTAGAAGATTTGTTATAAAATACAGTTGCCTGAACATTTGCCTCTGGTTCCCAAAACAGTCCCGTGATGCTTGGGGATATGTAACTCGGCCCAATCTCCCATGCAACCTTGGACCGGGTTCTGGCATGGTACGTGGTGTGAGAGAAATTCTAGCTTGAGGATCAGGCTCTCTCAAGGGGAAGGGGGGAGGAGAGGGGAGGAAAGAGAAAGGAGAGCCTCTCTTCCTCCCCCCCCCCCTTGCGAGAGCCTGATCCTCAGGCTAGAGAAATTCATTTTTTGTTCTCCTTATCTTATCTTAAAATAAAACACTTGGACTTCCTATTCAAATTCCCCACCCCACCCAGGAAAAGTTTAAAAAAAAGCTTACCCCGGAGAAAAGATCTTTTGTGTTAAATTCCCTACCGTCCGGGCACGGAAGACAGTAGCTGCAAAAGTTCCCGCGGCCGCGGCTTGCCTGAGGGGGTTGCGGGTGTAGAAGCCTCGAATTATCAGTGCAAAGTCCTCCATTAGCCGAGACTTGTTTTACTTCTTTTACTTCCCTAAAAAGTTTTGAGTTCTTGTCAATTAGTAGAAGGGACGCATCTGTGAATATTTTTCTGAAAGTATTTTTTTTTCTCAACTTTGTCCTTTGCTTTTAATTTGATTGCGAAGTCAAACCTCTAGATCTCATGAACACAGGTGTGAACTTATCCCAGATGTCGTTGACATTTCCCCAGACAAATATTAAATGCCTCCTAAGGTTATTGATCACTCTCCTACAATTGATCTGAAGTTCTTCAAATTCCAGTTGTCCGCTTCTCGAACCACATACATAGCTGCTCAATCCCCTGATCACAACTCTTCGTTTAATAACAATTCAAGATCATTTACAAAAAATATAATTGATAAAATTAGTATACAAAGATTCCATAAAAATTCAACATCATGTATAAAACTGACAAGAGGCATTCAGCTTGAAAATTGCCCTAAAAAGAAAAACTTTAGATGAAAAGGCATTCGTGAACCTCCCACGCATGCGTCTACCGATCTTAGGAGTTCGAAAGAGATTTGTGTCCTGAGCCATGTGATAACGGTGTTATACGGCTCGGTGTCTTTCTGAGCTATCTTATCTGCAAGATGCTTCAGCAAACGCTGGCACTCATTTCCCATTCCGCCATTAGTTATAAACGCTAAAGGTGTGAATAGACCCATCTCTAAATCTAGCACCCGCTGCTGGTGAGTACTTCGAATGATCTTTCGTGAGGCTCTGAGTCTGTTACCAAGGTAACAGGCGAGGTCCTGTGACCTAGTGCCCAGGTGGAGCGCCAAAACTTGAAAAAAAAAAGATACGAAATGGCGCTTAGAATATGTGAGGTTCTTCTACTACTTTTGCTTTTAAATATAATAAGTGCCGACTCAGCGACCGTGATAGATGAAGCTGACTTTGAACTTATATCTAAAGAAAAAATACAAGCTGGGAAGTCGAAATTGGAAGAGTTCACGGCAAACGCTAAGAGCAGTGATTGTTGGAAGAAAGCTGTTGCAGGGATTGGGAAACGATGCAAGACCCTTGGAGACGTGGAACAGAGCTATCTGGCGATCGATTTTACGAACTGCCACTTGTCTAAATCAAGAAGAAAAATTTATTCTTGTTCTAGGGAGACGCAATCGATTGAGGAATGTACGGGATCAATGGACGACACGACATATTTAACGTATACGACATTTTTTGCTCATACGACCAACATCTGTTTCTACGTGAAAAGCGAGTTGTGGCAAGCAAGAACAGAAGACACTATCTCTGAATTATCAAGAACTTCCCAACAGGTTGCTGATCAGCTGGAGGAGTCTGCCCAGAGACAAATCCTAGTGCTACAAAAACAGAATATTTCACTTGCAAACCAGAAGGAAATCATTTCAAATGAAATCCAGTTATCTGCGACCCTGAAGAATTCTACGGTAACTGCAAAAAAAGCCTTCGAGGAAATGAAACAAAATGCTTTCGAGCAAAAAGCTTTATTCACTGAAACATTTGATAGTGTCTTCAAAGCTGTTGAAAAAGTCCAAAAACTGCAATCATTGATTCTTGGAGAGTTTATAAGTTTACAATCGGTGTCTTTCTACATTGCTGCTGTATGTACGTGTTATTTCCTCACAAGCACTCCACGCACAGCAGCTGGCAGACTTCCGCTTTTCATTGGATTGTTTATTCTCATATTCATTGAGCGGCTGGTGACATCTTGGGGAGTGACAGAGACTCAGTCAACCAACACAGTAAGACATAGTGGTTTTAACTGTATGTGTGAATCAAATATTCTGACGTTTTAAGAGTTAGCTATTTTTCCATTTCCTCTAATGAAAGCCTACCACTTGAAACGCCAGCTTAAGAACTTTTTACAGTGACTAATAACACATTATCAACTCAGTTGATAGAACCATATTATCCTGTGATACCCATGTTGCCTACCATTATTATCATAAGCTTTGTAAATAGTTTCTTAGAGAGGAAATTGTTCTGCCTAATAACAAAAAAGAGAGAACCTTACAAAAGGCTCAAACATTGAGTCTTATACCCCATTCACACCAGAAAACTTGTTTATTTAAACCAGGTTTAACTGAATAAAAATCAGAAGCAGAGAACTGAAAAACTAAATTTTCCACAAGATTCAAGCAATTGCTAAATTGTATTTTCAATGTGTCACATTTGAAGTCAACCAAATATTGATTTGAGCAGCTGCTATGGAGCTGTTGTGTTGAACCATGTTTAACAAAACAGCTTTAAAGCATGTTTAGGCTTTGGTGTGAATGGGGTATTAGATACAGAGGCCAGACTCCAAATCATTAAGCCTCCTTGAGGGAATAAACCTTGTTAATTATAAGGCAAGCTTTGTGAATGTTTTAGAGAAAATGTGAATTATATCAGTTGCACTTATCTGTTTACTCTCTGACAAGTTTGAAAGCATACCAGTATGCATTTTGATAGTCCTGACCACTACATTTCACATTTGTCTCACAGGAAGTGATACACTCAAGACTTTGGTTTTTTAGAAAGCTATACCTCATTATTGCAACTGTTGTTATAATGGTTGTTGGATACCAATATCAAGATTACAACAAAATCAACTTTGATATGCTTCGCGAGATGCAGCTTCAGATTCAAGAAATGAAGGGATGGCAGGAGAAGATCAAAAGTCTGAAGGCACTAACAAATGGAGAGTCTTCACCACAGCCATCACAGAACAGGTAAAACTGATATTGGAACTTATATTTTTTGTTGTTTTTGTTGCCATTGCCAATCAAAACACAGGGATACTGGTGGCTTCATCTTGCCTATTTCTGGGGCTTGGGATATACAGTAGTAACTATGATTCAGCCATCCCAGCAAACCACAAACCAAGCTAGCCAGCGTACTCTCTACTCATAGGTGCCAAAATAATATTTTTTTTATGCAGGCAGTGGATCGGAAGTATTATATTTTGTTGATAAGCATATCAAGCTTATATTTCTTGCTGTTGAGTGGCATTACACCTTCTCTGCTATAAGAACCCTTTTAGCCAGTTTGAGGTTGCCTTACTCGAGCAGCTAAATGGTACTTGGCAAGGAATCTCTTTCCATTGCAAAACTGTCAGCAGTATCACAGACAGCTGGTCACGTCAATAGGGGTCCTCTAAGAGAGGAAACATACCATGCTATTCTCATGTGCTTTTGTTAGCATCTTTGGCAGCCAATCAAAACACAGGGATACCGGTGGCTTCATCTTGCCTATTTCTGGGGCTTGGGATATACAGTAGTAACTATGATTCAGCCATCCCAGCAAACCACAAACCAAGCTAGCCAGCGTACTCTCTACTCATAGGTGCCAAAATAATATTTTTTTTATGCAGGCAGTGGATCGGAAGTATTATACATCCTGGTTCAAGACACGTCCAAATTTGTGATGCACAAGATGGTCCCATCAGTGATTGTGCACAAAACTTGTACGATGATGATGATGATGATGATGATGAGTCTGATTGCAGCTATACGCCTGATGAGTCAGACCTGGAGAGTTTTTCAGATGAGAGCAGTGAGGAAGAAGATCACAATGATTCTGAGATTGAAGAAGCCAAACCTGTCAAAAGAACTCAAGTGACTGGAGGGAAACCTAGAGGAACACCTAAAGCGACAGACTCTGCATCTTCCAGAAGAACAAGGAGTAATGAAAGGGTTAGATGTGTTTTAGAATTTCTTTTGTGTTTGGGTAATTTTTAGATGCAGAACTAGAATAATATCTCAAAAGGGGAATCCGAATTAAGTTAGCAAAGATCCCTACAACTGAGATTTTCTTTTTTTTTTTGGTTTAATATTTACTTTTTTATGTTTTCCTTAAAGTATGAAAAAAAATTGTAGGGGGTTCCTAAGGGTTTGTCAAACCATAGACCTGAGTGTCTTGGGTAGAAGACAGTCTTAGGTCATACTCTTAGGCATTCAGTGTGTGATTTGAATAAGGTCATTAATATATCTTATTAACACTATCTTGACCTGAATTAGTTATCTGCAGCCCATTTCCTTCCTTGGAACTTGTTTAGCCAGTTAATACATGCTTTTTCTTGTGAACTCTGGATCAAAAATGAATGACAGGGGTTAAGAGGGAGATTAAAAGCTCCATACCTAGCTCCTCCCTCTGTCTACTTTTTCCCTTAGTCAGCCCCCCTTCCTCCCGCGAACACTATCCCCTCCTTATGATATCTCTCAGCTAGTAACCATGTGCTATGATTGGTCAATTTAGTGGGCTGTGTTTAACTGTACAGCCTGCTGAATTCAAAAGTTTGTTTGAACTGGAATCTTCCCCTTCTGTTTGAACCCAGAGATGCAATATCCTACTGACCTTGTTTCTTGGTCTATACTACAAGTTACAGAACCCCATTTTTTTCTGCTCACTTTGTGCCAGAGCCATGAGTCCTAGTGGAAAAAAACTTGTTTTGTGACCTAAAGTATGAACCTTTTATTTAGCTAGTGAGAGCCATGAATTTCTATGCTTTATCCTCCAGTATTTATGATGTTATTGCCTTTTTATGTTGTCAGGTTCATGATTCAAGTCCATCAGTTCGTTACAATCTTCGATCAAGAGGAAACACTCCCTCACACACCCGCAATGGCCGCTTCCTTAGTAACATGCCCTCACCATCAAAATTAAAGGAGCTGATTAACAAAGTACAGCAGGGCTCAAGCAGGCGTTACACAGCTGTTGTTTGTAAACAAAATAACAAGAACACTGATAAAGCACCATTGTTTTCATCTGATGAAGAATCCTAAACGCATCATTGCTTCTGAATTTGAGCATTTTACCTTCTGTGAATACATATAGGGGGTTCAATGAATCTTTAATTATCAATATCATTTTGATCATTATTATGAATGTTATTAACACTATTATTAATAATTTTTTAATATAATTCTAATCTAAGACCAGACCCAGAATGGCATTGAATTTGTTTTATTGTATTTTCTGGAAGTCAGAACTTTGGTCAGCAATGTGAAACTTGCTCAGCTGATGTTGTACATCTATTGACTAGGCATGAAGTATTATAAATATTTTTATTATTTTTCTTGTATTCATTTTTGTCAAAAAACAATACTTATTGAGATATGGCATATTTCGAGCATGAATCTTCTACAGCATTTTAAGAGATGGGTTTTGAATTTTGTAAACAATCATAAATTGTATTGATTAGTCTCTAAGACTGTTGTTCGGCATGAATAAGGAATTTATTATTCAAGAGTTATCATATTTGTTGATTCTTTATGCTAAGATTGTGGTTTCACTACTATCTTTATTTATTACAGTGTTCTTGTCTTATTTTACTTATGCAATATTTAACTAAATAAATGAAGTTACAAAACTGATGTCATAGTAATTCCCAGCAGTAAAGTGCAGTTTTTTTCTTGACCTTTTTTGTGTGCAATTGTAAATATTCATCAATAAAGAACGTATTTATGTCTTCAACTGGGATATATGGAAGACTGTGTATTGCTGATACTCCTTTTTCTTTTTCAGGGGAATACAAATACTTATGTGTTGACTTGAAAAATGATCCTTTTGAATTGCTGAACTATTCTACGACTAACCTAATATTTTCTCCAAGGTTTTGCTCCCAGAAGGGGGCAAAAACGTTTACTTACAGTCTTTCTGCGTTTTTTTAACCTGAGAGTAACTCGTGTAAGTTCTAGAATTATTGGAATAGGTATACAAGTATATAATCGCACTTTCAAGGCCTGGGGAAAATGTGTCAATTGGAAAAGAAGTCTTGACTTATAAATGTTTTTTCTTCAATTTTTTTTTTTTTATTTTTTTTCAGTTTTTTTTTTTTCAGTTTTCTTTTTCAGTTTTTTTTTTTTTTCTCATGTTTCTTTTTTTCTCAAGTTGAAAAAAAGTAACCAATTCCGGGGTGGGACATCCTCGGAGATCCAGGGGCTGGGAGTCGATGTCAACTCACAGCTCCTCGGTCTCCGAGGATGCGGCGCAATTGGAGAATCCCAGTTACATTAGCTGTTCGGATCACACTGTATGACCGATAGCATTGATTGTAGACAACTGGAAAGAAAGGTTTGGAAAAATAATAAAAAAGAGACGCAAAGTTAAACCGGAAATATTTGCAAAAAATATCTTAGTGAAAATGAATGTATTGACGGTTCGCCAATGCAAAAAGAGATTACCATCACTCCCGGGGGGTATTCCCTTATAAGGGCTTAATGGGGACCTGCGGCCAGCCATGGTATGTTTTCCGAGCTTTTTGTCTTAATCAGGGTATCGAATTTATCATTTTTTGTCTTAATCAGGGTTTCGATTTATCAATTTTTGTCTTAAACAGGATATCTTTTCTTGGAAGATGAACAAGAAAATTTTTACAAGCTCTAATTTTAATTAATATTGAATTCCGTTGATTTTGGCATTGAAACTAGGCACATTAAATGTCTTAAACAGGGTATCAAAAATCGGAATTCTGTCTTAAACAGGGTAGAAAAAATCAGCAATATTTGTCTTAAACAGGGTCAGTGTAAGAGGGGCCGCGCCGCACCTCCCCCCCAGGAGTATATCGAGTACCCCCCCGGGCCATTACTCCAATGTACTTGATAAAAACTCTGGATTACCTTTAACCAAAGGCCGCATATAACCTTCTATCGCTCTGACGAAGGACTGACGCCCGAACGTAAGTTGTACGTCAGTTGAAAAAACCAAATCGACTTCTACTACCCTCCACCAACACAGCACCATAGTTTCTTTAGAAACTTAACCCCTTTAATCTAAGAAACTTCTGGTTAAAATGGCCATCAGTTACTGTCAGACTACAAAAAAAGCACCCATTACCCTCGTCTTGACAAAGAGTTCCCTGCTCGAACTTTAGCCAAATGAGTCGCACTAATGACATCAAGAATGGGATTTTAGTCCGATCATTGACTTAATCTTTGACAATACTCTTCGCTTTTGTTTTCCCTAAGCAACGCGTGAATATAATAGAAAGAATTGAGTAAATACTATGTAAATTGTGTAAATTTGACGTTGGATTGTAACCAGGGAACAAGTGACAACTCAAGTGAATCGGTTAAGCTTTTGATGCACATTTTTCAATGTCAGCGCTAGCGGTAAATAGCACACCTTTCCACGTTCTTCTCTACGACATTGGGAAAGAGTTAAAGCTTAGCGATGTCCGTTACATGAAGTATTTACTACAAGGACACATAAATAAGGAGACATTGGAGCATCTCGACTCGGGACAGGAGCTCACGGAGCTGCTCAGGAAGAGAGGTTTGGTGTCCGAGAAGAAATTCGCGTTTATGAGAAAACTTCTGATAGAAGCTAAGTGTTTGAAACAAGTTCACTTAGTGGATGAGTTCAGGGAAAAATTTACTTCTGTGACAATTATTGGTGAGTGCTAAATCCTGATTAATTGCCATTCCATTCAATTTGCGCTAGTAACCGGGTTAATTTTAATAACTACCTGTTGATAATTTCCAAGTATTCACGTGGATTTCTTCCAGCTTTTTCTGACCGAAGAGGCTGATACTAGAGATACATTTCTACTTAGATCCGCCCAGATGAATCACGATATTTCGATAAGCTTTTCGCAAAAATTAATCTACCTTTCATGACGTTTTGATAGTTCTTTCTTTGGCTTCAATAAACATTATTTCGTGCAGTACCGTACGTGTCTGGCAGAAAACAAGTTTGCGAGATTTCACACAGGCTAAACGTGAAAAACATATTCAAGACTTTCACACTTTGTTGTCAAGAAGCTAGCTTTAATGATACGATTCTACAGACCGATAAACAATGACAAAGTTCTAAATTGCTTTCATTTCTGTGTCGGCTGTTTGTTGTGTTTACTTGTCTAACAATTCAAAAAGGAATTAAAATGTCATAATTTCTCTTATGTCCACTGAATATTGATAAAGGAACACTGCACAACACTAGAATTTACATTCTAAAGCAACTGCGTTTGAGCAGCCCGGTTTAACTACCGGCTTACAAAAAGAACTATTCATCCAAAAACGCAAAATGTCCCGGAGGTGTATTGAGCCGGCGCGTTTAATTATCATGAACTGTTTTAATTAATCTCACTGGAAAATGACAATTAACGCGCAAACGAAGACGCACTCTTTCACTTATATTCTTCCAGGTCCTTTCGTATTCTTTTAATATATGGTATGGGTTGTCTATGATACAAGTGTTCTCGTTGCGCGGTCATATTGTATCTTTTAAACTGCATGTGTCTTAAGGATGAGTTCTTCGAAACTTGAACTTCTTGATTGGATTATTAGATCTTCAAGAGCGCATCTAAGCCATGATTTGAGGAGAATAAAGTATGATGACGTGTGATTTTTTTTTTTTTTTTATCCCTTCATTTTGATTAAACTTTAAAACAATCATTTTTTAAAAGCACGACCATGCTTCTGCGGTTTTCGTCAGTAGACCTGGTTTTTCAAGACTCTAAGCAATGCAGACCTAAACGCACGAAAAAAAAAATAAAAACAAAAACAAAAAAAGCACGGTGTTTTGATGCATAACATTTAGCTTAAAGGAGATTTTCGGACCAAAATGCTTTGCAGTATTTTATTGTGAAAGTGTGGTGTGATCGTCCGGGTGAGTGTAGTCCTGAGAAGGACTGTTGTCGGTTGTAGTCACTGACGTTACGATAACCTGTGCGGAAGTCATCATCAGAGTCAAGTGGATGATAGTTGTTATCAGTAGAATGTTCTTATTTCAGTTCGTGTAAAATGATTGGTCAGTTTTGCCGTGATGTTATTGGCTGTAAGACTCAAGTGGCGTAAGTCGGTCGTGATTGGTCGGTTTCGATCCGTGGGTAAAGTTCCCTTGGCTCAAATAGTACGAAGACATCTAATTTTATGTTCTCTCTTATTAATGCTTGTTCAGTCCGTAATAAGACTCTGCCTATAAAGGACCTTTTTGTTGATAGAGCTGTTGACATTCTTGTTATAACAGAGACGTGGCTTCATTGTCGTGGCGATGATGTTGTTATTAGTGAGCTTTGCCCATCTGGTTACTCCTTTCTTCATAACCCGAGATCAAGTGGCCATGGGGGTGGTGTTGGGCTGCTTTATAAGACTGTGCTCAATGTTAAATCAAGACGTACGAATTCATCTTTCAAAAGTTTTGCGTACATGGACTGCATCTTTATCCATTATAAATATGTGAGGATCATTGTTGTTCATCGTCCACCTCCATCGACCGATAATTCCCTCACTGTTGACGTATTTTTTGAATGAATTCTCTATTTTGATGGAAGAAGTCATGATTTCGAACGCTGAACTTCTTATTGTGGGTGATTTTAATTTTCACGGGGATGCATCTGATGATGGTAATTCTACTCGTTTTTCATCTCTTCTCGAGAATTTTAATTTAAAACAGAATGTCAAGGCATCTACTCACCACCATGGTCATATTTTTAGACCTGGTAATAACAAGATCTGATGCTGATGTTTTTTTTCCTGGCAAGCTTATCTACTCTGGAGCAATTACCTATCTCTAACCATAAGCCAATCTGTTTTAACCTGAATTATGAAAAACCACTCAAAGCACGTAAAACTATTGTCTATAGAAGACTCAAGAGCCTCGATATCAACAAGCTTCATGATGCTATACGCCACCCAGGATTGTTGGAACATCTGGCCTTGACTCTCGTTTACAAATGTATGATGCAACTTTATTGGGTGCTCTTGACAAGTTGGCGCCGTTGAAATCAAGAACTATTACTCAACATCCTAACGCACCCTGGTACACTGATGAAATTGCTGCCGAGAAGAGACTACGGAGAAGGCTTGAGAACAAGTTGAAGTCATTGATCTCATTAAAAACAATACCATTAAGTCATGCTCACTCGATGCTCTACCTGCTACTGTTGTGCGGAAGTATTACGTGACATTGGTGCCTGCTCTGAAGAATATCATTAACCCATCACTTTCTACTGGTGAGATGCCGAGGGATCTCAAGACTCCTATGGGGAAACCTTTGTTAAAGAAATCTAATTCTGACTCTGGGGATTTCAATAATTTTCGTCCTGTGTCCAACCTGAAGTTCTTTTCCAAACTAATTGAAAAAGCTGTGTTTTTACACATATCTTACTACCAATACACATATCTTACTACCTACACATATCTTACTACCAATGCGCTATACGAACCCCTGCAATCTGCATATACTGTAAGACTCTGCATAGCACTGAAACTGCAGTTTTGAAAGTACACAATTGAACATTATCGACTTACGAACCACAATATTGACTGGGACTCTGCGCAATGTCTAACCTACAGCACTGACTACTTTCAACGACTGACTCTGGAAAGCTGGTTTGCTAACTTAGAACAGACACCCCAAAACAGGTGTCAACTACTACCGGCCCCATACAAACGACTCATTCACGACATAAACATTACAAACGAACCGAACAGCCTGACGACCTAACTTTACCGACGGATCGAAACAGACCAATCATGTCACGACCGACTTACGCCACTTGAGTCTTATAGCCAATAACATCACGGCAAAACTGACCAATCATTTTAAACGAACTGGAATAAGAACATTCTACTGACAACAACTATTCACTTGACTCTGATGATGACTTCCGCACAGGTTGTCGAAACGTCAGTCACTACCACCGACAACAGTCCTTCTCAGGACTACACTCACCCGGACGATCACAC